ATATGACCATAATTTACATAACCAGCCCCTGATTTCATTTAGGATGAACTTAAAATGCAAACCTGCAAGTTCACCTCCGATTATTTTCTTAGAATGATTTCCTAAAACTAGTATTCCTGGGTCAAAAAAATAAACTTTTTTCAGGTTCTTATTACAGTATAGCAACACTTGTTCCATAGAGAAAGTGCAGAAAAGTATAAAAATGACTTGAAAATTTGCCATTTAGAAGTAATTCTTTGGTCATATTTTGTGGCTCTTCCCCAATTTTATTCATGTATATAAATGTGTATTTTAAAATGTCGACTATTCTGACATAGAAGACATATATTTTATGTAGTATCTATTAAGAAATAACATCATAGAAATATATTTGTATCATATATTTAATTTTATATAACATATTTATGCCCCCAAAGTATCTAGGTAAAAATTAAATAAATGTTTATATCATGAAATATAAATGTTTACAACCTAGATATTCATATAAACGTATAAATATTTTTTCTTATCTCATTTTAGTGTAAGCCTCTGAAGAAATCGTGATGATTATCCTCATTTAATCACTATGAAAAATCTCAACTTAGAAATAAGCTACTAAGGGAGAACATAAGGCCCTAATTGAAGCATCTCACTTACGGGTTTTAGCAACAGATCCTGTCAAGATTTAGATTTTATTCTACTTGCAGGGGGAAGGCAGTGAAGGAATTTAATGAAGAAAGACATAAAATCATAATATGCTTAGAGATTAAGATTTTTTTAAAGAGAAGGGGAAAAACCCCTTGTGCAAAACCACAAAAACAAGAGTTCTTAAGAAATCCACTATCCTAGAGCCACGGCCAAAGCAGACAACCATATTTCCATAGTATTAACAGACAAAGGAAGGCCTGGAGTCAGGATTTAAACCTCCACAGCCCATCCCAGAACCTCATTCTACTACCACAATTATTTTCAACTGAGGTGCCTGGAAAATTTTTAAAGATCACAAGTCAAGGGCAACACCTGTGGCTCAGTGGGTAGGGCACCGGCCCCATATACCAAGGGTGGCAGGTTCAAACCCGGCCCCAGCCAAACTGCAACAAAAAAATAGCCAGAGGTTGTGGTGAGCCACCTGTAGTACTAGCTACTCCGAGGGCTGAAGCAAGAGAATCACCTAAGCCCAGGATTTGGAGGTTGCTATGAGCTGTGATGCCACAGCACTCTACCAAGGACAATAAAGTAAGACTCTGTCTCTACAGAAAAAAAAAAAAAAGATCACTAGTTAAATTATTTTTGAAAGACATTCAAATACAATGTATTTATAATGTAAGTATATTATTTTGTTTACTCTTTTTTTTTTAAATCAACATAATGTAAGTGTGCTGCTGCGGAAGTTTAACTACAGGTTCAAGTGCAGTGAGATTAAAAAGATTGGAAAACACTACTACTATCTCAGATCCACAATTTCACTGAAAATAAATCCCATCTGATCACAATAGTCATTCTAGCACTGCTTCGGCAGCGTCTGCCTTCTTCAGTGATACAGATAACTACCCCAAAGGGGAAAGGGAAAGCAAAACGTGCATTAACCTTCTAAGACAAAACTCTGCATCTCATCCAAAGCTCAAGAGTATCTGAAAGTTACTCACTCTCAGGCCCACAAGTCTGACAGCCTCACTGACAGAATTCCCACACCTTCCCATCCAGGCTGGCTGCCTGAGACTGTGGGCTCCCCTGAACCTGACAGATGTCCTCATTGCACACAAACACCGTCCACAACAAGGCCGTGCAACCAGAGTGTTCAACCCTGTAAAGGTGTTCAAACCTCAACAAAACATATAATCCTATAATTTTCAAACAGAATAGAATTCATAACTTCACCTACCAATGCTTAATCCCAAGAGTAGCAGTCCCTGATTTTGTGTCTTATTACTTTTTGGACTATTCTATGTTTTTCAAATTCTCAAAAAACAAAATTAGATTACTAGCACCATGCAAGTAGGTATGTGCCCATGCTTGTGTGTGTATATGTCAGTGGATGTGTATGTTAGTGTGTATGTGTGTTGGGTGGGGGGGAATAGCTGTAGCAACAAAGTCAGTTGAGATTCACAGTTTGGCTTCTTATTCGTTGACAGCTTTGGCCAGGATAAGGTGGAAGGCTTTGGAGCATTTCTCCAGGACTGCATTAGTCTAAGCTGGAGAGGCCTTAAGATCTGGCCACAGCAGGGCCTTCCACAGGCAAGGGGCTCAGAGGGACCACTACTTTTCTTGGGTAACTCTCACAGTCTCCCCATCTACGATACAATAAGGAACACCTCCACGGTCCCAAGACAACCAGATTCCACTCTCAACAGCCGAGAAAATTCTAGAAAATTCTAGAATCAAAGGCCTTCCTCCCAAAAGGCCCAGCTGGCCTCACTAAAAAGCCAAATTCTTACCAAAGAAGCATTCACAGTAGTAGTAGCACCACAGGCCTCTTCACCTCCAGTCTGCACATCTAAGACAGGACCGGAAGCCTAATGAGGACTGGGGTGGGGTGGAGGCAGCCCCTGTACTTCCTGTTCCTGCTACAAACAGCTTAGGGAGGAAGTAGACCAGAGTATGAATATCAATTAGTCCCTGTGACTGGGACTCAGAGGTGGGTAGCACAGGGGGCAGGGTGTGGGTGAAGAGCCCGGCCACCTGAGCTTTGCTTCTGCCTGCCTGCCTGCTGATGAGCCATTTTATACTTGAGGCCTCATTTCTACATTCCAAAATGAGGAAGTCAGACTGGAAGATAACTAAGAACCCTCTTTTTCCATATTTTCACATTTTAAAGACTTTTTCTGGGTGCATCATTAAGATTTTAATTTTTTTATTCAATAAATATTGAGTGGGCAGCTCTGAGAGGCCTTGGAGATCAGACTCTACAAGGGCCCTCAGCAAGGTCCCCAGAGTGCCTACTGACCCTGATAGCTAAGTCTCACCGTTTGCTCAAGGATGATCTCCATGGCTTCCATACCATCAGATCCCACAATCATCAGCCTAAAAAACTCCAAAATCAAAGGCCTTCCTCCCAAAAGACCAGGGTGATCTTACCGAAGAGGCAAACCCTGGGGCCCTCCCCATGCCGGGCTCTGGTGAACAACAGTGAACAAACAGACATGAGCTCCCTGCCTTTATACTGTGAGTTAGTCTGAAGTTTTAGAATGTTGAAAGTAGGAAAAGAGGCAGGAGAATTGCCTGACTCAGATTGGCCTAAGCAACATTAGAGATCCATCTCTTTAGGAGGAAAAGAAAAATAAGCATTTCTCTTCTTTGAATCTGCCTATAGTCTGCAAGCTTCACAAGGCTTCCATTGCCCCCAGCTGCCCACCAGTCCCCATAAGGAGGATCAGGCTTATAGAATATTATTTGCAGAGAGCAAGGACCCATCTTATAGCTGAGAAGACTGAAGTATCTGAAAGTGCCTGTTCACCCTAGAGGACGAGGAAGAGGTGACCTTACAATCTCCATGCCCTTAGCTGACATTTGATTCACCCCAGGTAAGTGTTGCCAGTCACATGACAACAGAAGGAAATCCTGTCAGTGGCTGAATCCAGTACCAGGAAGTACATATTCCCCTGCACCCATAAAGCACACCCTCCAGCTTTTGTCCCCCATTTTGTGACTATCTCGGGTCCTAGGCTGAGAGACTCATGAGGGCAGGGACTGCATCTTTCGTGTCAAAGTTCCCAGGACCTGCCACAGGAGCAGCAATGTCTAGAACATACAAAGATAGCCTGCAAATTGACAAGGAAGAAACACTCCTTAGAAGGGCAATGGGCATGTACACGCAGCTCCCTACGGGAGTACTGCAAGCACTAAAGTGTAGGGAGGGTGCCCACACCCTGCACAGTGCAAAGTAAAGCCACGGAGAACCCACTTGATCCCTACTGGACTGGCAAAGGTTTGCAAGTAAGGTCAGCTACGGATTGGATTGGCGGGCAGCTAGGGCAAGGGAAGCCTCACGGAGGCAAGTGAGCCCGGCTGGGTCTGATCAAGCAGCCACATACCTCACAGCCAGCAACTCTCAGTGTCCGCGTAGCAGCTGAGTTTTTCTATATTGCCCTTGGGCAGGATCTGTGGAGGCTCCTATAGGTGACGCCACATAGAAGTTAGAAACTAGGGCGTGTCCAAGTAGAGAGAACTTGAAGAGCAGAATGCTCACTTAAAAAAAAAACATAAGGCTGGCGTGGTGGCTCATGCCTGTAATCCCGGCACTTTGGGAGGCTCAAGAAGGAAGATTACTTGAGTCCAGTTCAAGGCTGCAGTGAACTATGATCCTGCCAGTGCACTCTAGCCTTAGTGACAGAGTGACACCCTGTCACAATTACAAGTAAATAAATAAATAGTGAGAAACAGAATGAACAAAATACACAGGGCATTAATATGCGATAATAATTGCTAAAGCGTACTGATACTTAGTCGGCCAGTCACTGTCCTGAGTGGTTTAGAGGGATCATCTCCTTCAAGCTTCACAAACATCTCACGAGGTATTATTATTAATCCCATTTAATGTTGAGGAAACAGAGGCCCAGAGGAATTGCTTGCAAAAAGAGACTTTTGCAAAGGTACAGATAAACTCAGGCATCCACACCAAAAGCATTAGAGCTGTCTTTGGGGAACAAGTGAGGGTGGGGGTAAGGGCTCAGGAGGAAGGAAGCTCCTGAAATGTGAAAGCGGAAAAGGGGCAGATGGTTCATTCATCAGCCCAGGGCCAAGAGAAAAAGAAACTAACATGAAAAGGTTTTCTGGAATTTCCAAAGCGGTGCAAAGGAGGGAGACAGCATTTCTGAGGACAGAAAGTTAGCAAAGGAACTGCGACCAGTGGCTGTGGCTGGGAGAGGAAGCCTATAGGACAGCTGGGCCAGGCAGGGATCCGGGCGTCCCCATTGAGCAGGTCCAGCTGCCCCAAGTGAGCTAGCAAAGCCGCGAAATACCGAAATACCGCGTTGTCCTTTCAGTTTCCTGTCAAAGAAGCCACCTTTGCACCAGGTACTCACCTGCTCCCCCTTCTCAGCACCATCACAGCCACGTTGTCCCCTAAATTGCCTCATTCCATGCTCAAAGGCAGCCCACACTAAGAAAGCTTCCAGAAACAAGGGGCAGGGGAAGGAAATTACTCCAGGAAGGAGCTTTCTTCTACTCCCAGATCACTCCCAGCTCACTCCACCGGCCCCTGCCTGCCAGGGCAGATTAACTTCCTGCTGAAGTAACCTAGAATTCTGCAGGACTTGAAAAAATCGCAAGAGATGAAAGAAGTAAACCGGTGAACCTGGACAGAATCTGGTCTGCAGCAAGAGACAAAGAAAAATTCCCAGCAGAAAGAACTAAAGAGTAAACTTTTTTCCTAAGCCAGGAAACAGCCATGGGTGACTCACTCGCTCAAATAAGAAATGTTTGCTATTTAAAGGAACCAACACCCAATTTCCAACTACTCAGAAGAGGGAGATTGCAGGCAATTTGCTAATGTGCAATCTAAAACCTGGGGAGCTGGACATGCTTTTCCAAGAAGCATTTACACTGACTCTATTTTATTCTAATAACAGCCCCCCACCCCACTCTGTTCCCACCCACCCACCCCCAACACACACCCCCTGTCTGTGGCAGGTGATACCCTGTTCTTCCTTGCAAGGAGTCTGGGGAGGGGGATTTTCACTGTCTCAGTCCAATCTCAGCACTGAAGGCATGGACAGCCTTAGCCCCCCTTCATATCTCGGGGGCTCTTCTTGGTCAAAGTCAGCCTGTAGCTGAATTGTGGGAGATTATTCACAAAAGGGAGGCAGGGTTCTAGCCCAACCCTAAGCAGGGGCAAGGACACTTCTTGAGCCCCCATCCCTGGCCCTGCTCTTGGGTTTATTAGTACCCAGTGTCTGCGGTGCTGAGCCTGGAGCATGGTGACACTGAGGTCTGCCCCTAGGCTGTTCCCCACACAGGTATCCCCTGCTTCTCTCCATCTGCCATCCCCTCCCCAGTCTCTGCCTCTGTTTCCTGTTTACAAGTTTTAGGGATTTCCTGCCCTTTTGTTTTCACATCTTGTACATTTTATAACCCAAGCACCAACAATATAATACAATAGCTACATGTTGCATCCTTTTCATGAACTATCCCATTTCTCAGATTAATGCAGCGGGTATTGGCCTCCCACGTTATAGATGAGGAAATGAAGGCTCAGTCACATGGATTCAAATTCAGTCCTGTTGGGCCAAAGACAGGGATTTTTCTACTACAACAGACTAACTCCCTTTCACCAACATGAAGGATTTGAAACCAACCATGTGGAAAGAGCAACAAATTTAAACTAAGACAGAGTGACCTATGCACATAGGTCAGAAGGTCCTTGGATTCTCGGTTACCTAGCAAAAAGGATGTGGTCTAATTAAAGACACAAGCTAACACTTATCAAATCAGTTGTGTATCCCAGACAGGATCACCTAGACTGGCTCGTTTCAACTTCTAAACAATCCTCAGAAGCAGCTGCTCCGCTTTTATGGATGAAGACACGGAGGTAAAAACAGGTAAAAGACTTGGCCACGCTCATTCAGCTAAGAGGGACAAAATGAGGTCTGTTTGTCTCCACGATCATGCATGGTTAATCACTTTGTACACGTTTATACACAACCCTGAATCTCTACCTGACTGGTCTTGGAATTAACTATGGAGTTACAAAAAATACCACTCCTCAAGTTCCAGCTTCAAAACTCCTGTCTAAGCAAAATGGTGGTGAATAAAACAGGTCAGGCACTTACAGTAGTGCCTAGGCCTTTGTAAGGTAAGCCTGTGTACAGATGCAGGAACTAAGTTCACAAGTTTGTTGACAAAAGGCAGCCCCGGGCATGAACTCAGGACTGTCTCACTGACTTTCCCCTCTTGGCCCTGGTGCACATCTCACCGCCAGGCCCCAGGTGGCAGAAATGGTCAGTTGCTGGAGAGAGGGCAGTGCTGAGGATGGGGGGGTGGGGCTTGTCTCAGGGTTTGCCATGTGTAATGTAAGGCACTGACCCTAGATTTTCCCAGTCTTAAATCTTTTACAAAAGAAATATGAATAATTAATAAGTGAATCATGAACCTCAAATTGGTTAAATTCCTATTGTGACCTACAACAGTCTTTATTGCTTCATTTGCTCTAAGCAGTTTCTCATCACCAACTTGAAATACGTCTGTCGGATTATTTACATCAAAATTATTAATGTATATGGTCTTTACCCAGGGAAGCTGGAAGACCAGAGGTGTTGCCATAGCTGCAAGGAATTGGGGCAGGGTGAGGACAGCCTGGGATGACTCATTCTCCAGGCAGTTTCCACCCTCCCAAACCTCAGCTCCCACCTGAAAGTCTGTTCCAGAGACTATTGTGTTTGCTGATACGTCTCCTCATCGGCTAAAAGCAAACTAAGAAACCCAAGAAAGACTAAACCTAAACTTAACCCTTCCCATTCATCTGGATTTGAATTACCGGACACCATTCAAAGATAAGTAAGTACTGTCGGTGAAAAGAAACATCCTGAACATGCTTGTGCTTTTGTTCTTTGCTTTCTTGTCAAGTTGTATATAACTAGCCCGTGAGATTTGCTTGGGCCTCTCCTCTCCTGTCTTTGACTCTCTGGCAGCTGGCCTCAGAACCGCCTGAAACTCTTCCTC